TGACTGTAGGTACCAAGATAGGTGCATGACAGGCCAACACACTGAACCTGATAGCATATTATGACACTGTCATAGTGTCCTGACACAACCAGTCAAACTCTGTGATGTGATATGTATTTAGTACCATAATTAATATTTATTTATATATGGGATGTATAAAAACATTAATAAAGACTACTTGATCCTCTTAGACTCCCTTTCCGCACCTATAACACCCTCAATCCTCCTCGCAATCTCCACTACTTGTTGAAATGGAGTATCAGTTTGCAACTCTCGAGTCATGCATATTTTAAGATCATTATTTAGTCCCTCAATGAATCTGCGAACCCGCTCTCTGACTGTAGGTACCAAGATAGGTGCATGACAGGCCAACACACTGAACCTGATAGCATATTATGGCACTGTCATAGTGTCCTGACACAACCAGTCAAACTCTGTGATGTGATATGTATTTAGTACCATAATTAATATTTATTTATATATGGGATGTATAAAAACATTAATAAAGACTACTTGATCCTCTTAGACTCCCTTTCCGCACCTATAACACCCTCAATCCTCCTCGCAATCTCCACTACTTGTTGAAATGGAGTATCAGTTTGCAACTCTCGAGTCATGCATATTTTAAGATCATTATTTAGTCCCTCAATGAATCTGCGAACCCGCTCTCTGACTGTAGGTACCAAGATAGGTGCATGACAGGCCAACACACTGAACCTGATAGCATATTATGGCACTGTCATAGCGTCCTGACACAACCAGTCAAACTCTGTGCGCCATGTATCTCGAAGAGTCTAGGGAACAAACCCTTTCAAAAATATTTTCGAAAATTGAGCCCAAGTTGGTGGTGTTGCATTGACTGGTCTACCTTCTTCATAAACTTGCCACCACTGATACCCTGCGCCTGACAGCTGAAATGTAGTAAAGGCAACTCCGCTCACTTCCACAATACTCATGGTGCAGAGAATACAGTGACACTTTTCTAGAAATCTTTATTAGCGGAGTATTTACTCCTTAAATTGAGATAAGGAAGGTCAACTATGATAATTGGACATTGCTTATCTGAAAGGCCGATTTACTGTAAAATTAAAAAAAATTAGCACGTACGCTGTACCCAAGTTCATTTGACAATACAAAAGTTTCTACAATTATTTAAGAAACCAGAATATTAAAAAGGAAAAACACTTCATTCCTGTTAGAAAAGCTCAAAAAGGAACCAAAGCTCAAAAAGGAACCAACAAAGTTGTTTATACTTTATAGCAGTTGCCACCGTTGACCACAACGTTTGCAAGTTGATGCTGCCAAGTGCATAATGAGGGCGAAGCTAGAGTTTTAAGATATAAATTTAGCTAACCCAATAACTTTGATCTAGATTCTGTATTAAATTTAAGAAATCTATATATATATATATATATATATATATATATATATATATATTATTAATTTAAAAACCACGTGTATCGAACAACATGTTTGGATGGTTGTGATGTATCGTTTCATAATGTATCGCATAATATTTTAGATAGATTATATTGTTTGTCATCGTTTCAGAATGTCATGCACCAACAATACGAAAAATAAACTTACAATATTATAAAGAAAAAGTAAGGTACGGAATAAAATTATTATAAAAAAAAGTTAGGATGAAGGATAAAATATAATTATTTAATAATAAGGAAGGGCAAGATGAGAAAAAAATATAAGGTAACGACGCGACCACACCAAATCAGTCATTCCATAAAGTAACACTTTTCGTCGTTACGTAATGACAAATTTATCGATACGATATAATAAAAATTAAGTAACAATCAAAATAAATATTGTATTTAAAGTAATAATACAATACAATACAACAAATAACAACCATCCAAACAAACTGTAAAGGATAGATTGCATATGGGTCTCTCCTCACATATCTCAAACAATTCTTGAATACCAATATGACAAACCATTGTGTGACACAACAAAACGTCTTCTTCCTCATTCAATCTTCAGATCTGGAAGAACAGAAGTGCTAACTAGCATTGCAAGCAATTCCAATGAGAGATATGGAAATTAGTAGATGACAAAATATCAATTGACTAAACTAAACAAGGATATCAAATTTCATAGTAACATACTGTTGCAACAGAAGCTAAAGCTAGTCTGGAAAACCTATCAACAAGGCAACCGCATTTAGTGCGTGGAAAACGAATATGGATCATACAGTTTCATAAACCACATCATAAGAAACTAAGTTGGTGCATAATAAGGCACCCTTCCTAACGATCACGATCGCGTTTCTACTTCTTTCTTTAGGTCAACATGAGGTCATTTCCACCAAGGTGAGGACGGAGGCAAACACGTACTTCATGTTCTTCAGGCCCTTCACAGAGTTTTGGCACCAACATCTCGAGCACTGTTCCTGATTCGTCGTAATATGCTTCTATTTTAGCATCTTCAGGAATTCTTGTTGAGAGAGGAATTTCTCTGACAAACTCCCCTGGAGGGCAGTGTTCTGAGGATGAATCGTCGAGCTTGAAAGTTCTGTTCTGTCTGTTGATGAATGGCATCCTAGATGTGCTCAAACAAGATACCTTTATTATCCCGTGTGTGAGCGTGTTCCGCCAGGAAACTTTCACCCTTTGAAGATCTACAAATGGCAAACTGATTACGATCAAGTAACCTTGTTCATCTTCATATATGCTTTTAGCAGCTGTAACAGGCCCGTAGGCATCCCTCATAACCCCACTAAATTCATGTAACCAATGTGGTTCAGTTGGGTGTATTTCCAAATCCGGAGTTTGATAGGAAGGAGGATTTACTTGCAGATAACATTCATCTTCATTTCCGTGAGGGAAGAAATCCTTTTTCCTTTTGCCATTGGCAGGTAGTAGATCCATCGCGTCCCCATTGCTGTGATTGGACGGCTGAGTTAACAAATTAAGCCCTGATCCATTAGCTAGTTTCTTCGGGTTGGAATGCGAATTACTCTTAATTGGTGGGAGTGGTCTCTCGAGCTCGAATTCAGTGTTGGGGAGGTTTCTCCATGAACTGTAATCGCTTGCTTCGTGTGGGATAGTGAAGTTGAGTTCCCTACCCGTGAGTTCCATCCATCTTTTCCGCTCCTCTTCGTCAAGAACCACGAGATTGGGAGATGGAACGACCTCAATCCCGTGAATACACTGAGGATTTGATAGTCCCCTGTAGTGCTTCCTCTGCATTCTATGAGATCGGACGAAACCCTTGTCAACACTAAAGGGAAACAGACGCTCTCCTTGACGAGAATGCCCATTCATGTAACTCCGGAGCTGCATCTTACCCAGTGCATTCTCGGGCCTTTCCTTGAAAACCCACATATACAAATTCTCCATATCATGCTGAACCATGAATACATCAAGCTGGAGATCAGACTTATCAAACCCCGAATATCCATTACTATCTCGTACCATCTTTGCCTTGGATTTCTCATTTAACACAGGTCTAAAATAAAAGCTAAAGAAAACCCAAGCACCCCAAATACTATCTAAGCGTTTTGCACATTTCCTTCCAACCTTAGGTGCACTAAGAGAACTTTCAGTCTCATATACTTGGGTCCCAAGCCCAACATCAAGAATATCACAGTGTTCCGAGTTCCATGGCTGCGGAGGAGGGCTACGCTCAGCTGATAAAGGCAAGTTAATATCAGGTGGACAAGTTATGACTACTTGGCGATTCATCTCGAAGTCTAATTCATCATGTGAAGAAGAAGCACTCGAATCCATGGACAAGCGGGTCGAAGGATGATGATTCTCCATTGACAATACAGTAACAAGAAGTTTCTACTATCTCACAATTCCCTTTTTTATCCCTATCTTACAAAATTCTGTCTAAGATGGGGACAATTGCTAATGAAAATTAACAAACCAAAGAACAAAAAATTGACAAAAGACTAATCTTTACAAACACATCAAAGATGCTAGCCCTATAACATCAAACCCCTAATTATTATGCAAATATCAGCATATACTATAAGCCTAGGTCAAGAGAAAATACAAAACAAGATTCACAAAGCCCTAATTATTATGCAACAAAAGAATGAGACAGAATCAACAAAGTGCATAAGCTTTAGAAAGACATATAAAAATTAAATCTTTAGTATAATTTTTATTTTATTTTAAATATAAGTGTAAATATAGTGGAGGTGGGGTAGATGAAAAATTACCAATCAATGAAGCCAAGGCCCAAGAAAAGGACTAAATCTGAAGTAATTTTGGAAGAATACCCTTTGGGGTAAGCTGCAATAACCAAGAAACCATATAGAGATGAATCAATGGCCATTAACATCCTCATCTTATCTTTTTATTTTACTAGCTAAGTCGTTGTCTTTCTTAAGAATTCGTCATACATATGAATACAAGAAAAAAGAGAGAGAGAAAAAGATGGGTTTTTGTGAATGTAGAGAGAGAAAGAGAGAGACCCAAATGGAAGAAGTTGAAGAGAGTGTGTGTGCCGGTGGGGGGAGACAAATTTGTTGGTTTCCGTTGTTGAGGTAAACTGGAAAAAGCGTGCACTGGATAACACCGAAATCTCGAGAACCTCACCGTTTCCCAACCGTGTTTCTACTTGTGGAAATTTTTTATAAAGAAAATGTTCAAATATGTCCCTAATCTTTCAGAATTGTCTTAAATATGTTTTTGGTTTACCTTTCCGTTTATAGGAGTCTCATCCTTATTTTTGGTTTCAAATATGTATTCCTCCGTTCACTTTTACTTGTTCAATATATTAAAAATATTATTTTTATATTTACTTATTAATTTCAGTAAATTAAGATTTGTTTTTCATATTTTATCCTATTCATTAACTACATATTCCCCAAATTATTCTCCATATATTTTGAAATGCTAGTATTATTATAGTTAAAATTATAAAATATGTACTTTATTTATTTTTTTAAAAATAGAGTGCAACATTAAAAGTAGACAATTAAAGTAAAGGGAGGGAATATATATTTTCTTTAAATAATTTTTCATCCTGAAAATTTGATTGGATTTGACTGAGGCGGTGACAACAACACTGGGGTATTTGGATTTTTTTAATTGACTAAGATTTAAGGGTATATTTGAATATCTTAGGAGTATTTGATAGTCTTTCGTTTGTTAGTGGTTCTATTGGAACAAATTAGAGCCAAGATGGACGTTAGAGGGAAGAGCAAATATAATAAATCGAGATTAATGGTACGAGTTCTCATAGACCAAAAGGTAAAAATGAAGAAAAGTCGTATACTTCAAGTCAAATCGAATTTTTTTTTATTTCATATGACTTTTAAAACAATTATCTTTCAAGAAAAGAGGATTAAAAATAATGTTATACCCTACAAATATTTTTCATAAAATATCTTACTTTTTATCCTTTGTTATATTTTCAAAGTTATTCATACCTGTATACGGTCGAAATCGGGCTCGTCTACTGTATGACAAGTCGGGACTGAAACGTGATAGGTTGAAACTCGATCCTGGATTATATCGAACCAAGGCGCGAAGTTAAATCATCGAGCTCGTGACTCCGGGACCAAATAAGATCGAGGAAACTTTATCGAGCCAAATAACGGAAGGCCAAAATATCCACAATCGGTTAGATATCACGGCGAAAATCTCGGCACGTATCAACCTTCAAGGCTAAGGTTGTTCAATTTGTGTGGTTTGCATTTATTTTTTTATCATTAATTTCGACATTAATCTGTTCTTTCAATTTGTATCAAGTTATATCACGTATCCTTAAAATCGCGTATAAATTCAACTGTTATCTGATTTTAGGGTAAACAGTTTGGCGCCCACCGTGGGGCTAAGAATAATAGTGATTATTTAATATAAATCTCCATAACACACACTGCTTTACGCTTGCTCTTTGAAATGTCTTTGATTCCAGGCTAAAATACAAAAATGTCAAATTCTCAATTAACACCTCTGCACGTTGACAACGAGTTCGGTCACCAAGATGAAAATAACAACATAGCACCCGGTAACGAGATACCACATGCTGATCCCGCTGGAATTCCGATCGCAGATCCGATTGATGCCAATTCACATGTGGCTATCGACGCAAACTTGCCTACTGACCCCGAAAATAGCATTCGTGGTGTAGCCCGATCGACAACTCGAAACATACAAAATGTTGAAGGGGACGAGATCAGTCTATGAGTGATCTTCGAAATGTTGCAGGCACAACAAACGACAATAACTTAGTTACAAAACCAATATCGTGCACCGAGCAAGGTTGAGCCCGATCCTCCCTGGGAAGTCACCCGCAGGGATCAACTGGTCATAGAAAGGTCGAACGAAAATGAATCGGGGGCTAACCTCGATATTATAAAGAAGCTCGAGGAATTGACGAAACAGATAGAATCAGGGGAGAAGAAGATCGAGGCCAACGACAAAAAGGTGAAAACCTACAATTCCAGGGTAGATAAAATACCAGGAGCACCGCCTATATTGAAAGTCCTGGATTCCAAGAAGTTCGTGCAAAAAACTTTTCCCCCGAGTACAGCTCCCAAGCCAATCCCCAAGAAGTTACGCATGCCCGATATTCCTAAGTACAATGGAACGACTGACCCGAACGAGCATGTCACCTCTTACACATGTGTCATCAAAGGGAATGATCTAGAGGATGATGAAATCGAATCCGTCTTATTAAAAAAATTCGGAGAGACCCTGTTGAAGGGAGCCATGATATGGTATCACAATTTACCACCTAATTCTGTTGACTCTTTTGCTATGCTTACAGATTCTTTCGTAAAGGCACACGCGGGGTCCATCAAGGTCGAGACCATGAAGTCGGACCTTTTCAAGGTAAGGCAGAAGGACAATGAAATGCTTAGAGAATTCATGTCACGATTTTAAATAGAACGGATGGACCTACCACCGGTCGCTGATGATTGAGCCATTCAAGCCTTTACCCAAGGGCTCAATGTTCGAAGCTCGATGGCTTCACAGCAGTTGGAACAGAATCTGATAGAGTACCCGGCTGTTACTTGGGCGAATGTGCATAATCTGTACCAATCAAAAATCAGGGTCGAAGACGATCAACTTGGGGCTCCTTCCTGGTCCGTTTATCCTATCAGACCCGTCGACAAAATCAAGAGAGATATTGACTGGGAACCGAGGTCGAATAGAGATTGGTATCAGCCATATAACGGGGATCGGAGAGGCAACGAGTCTGGGCGAAACTCCATGAGAAACAAAAGGAGAAATGACCGAGGTAAGAGCAGCAGGGGACTTATGACCAAAAATGGCCTCGACAGGTCCATCGGTCCCAAAGACGCACCAAGGCTATCGGAATACAACTTTAATATCGATGCTGCCGCCATTGTATCATCTATCGGGCGTATCAAAGATACCAAATGGCCTCGACCTCTACAGACCGATCCAACCCAAAGGGATCCTAACCAGATGTGCAAATATCATGGCACTCACGGTCACAAAACCAAAAATTGTCGACAGCTGAGAGAGGAAGTAGCTCGTCTATTCAACAATGGTCACCTTCGAAAATTCTTGAGCAACCGAGCCAAGAATCACTTCAGAAACAGGGGTTCTAACAAACATGCAGAATAAGAAGAACCTCAGCACGTCATCAACATGATCATCGACGGGGTTGATATCTCACAGGGGCCGATGTTGAAACGCACCAAAGTATCCATCACTAGGGAAAAATGAACTCGAGACTACGTACCGGAAGGAACTTTATCTTTCAACGACGAGGATGCAGAATGGATCGTACAGCCCCACAATGATGCACGGGTAATATCTGTACTCGTGAATAAAATTCAAATTAAACGTGTGTTAACTGATCCAGGTAGCTCGACCAACATCATTCGATCAAGGGTCATGGTGAAGCTCGGTCTACAAGACCAAATCGTACCCGAAGTCCGAGTCCTGAATGGATTCAACATGGCATGTGAAACCACTAAAGGGGAAATAACATTACCAATCAATGCTGCCGGGACCATCCAGGAAGCCAAGTTTTATGTGATCGAAGGTGACATGAGATACAACGCCCTGTCGGGAGGACGTGGATCCACAACATGAGGGCAGTGCCTTCGACCCTTCACCATGTGTTAAAATTCCCGACACCAGAAGGGATTAAGACGATTTACAAAGAGCAACCAACCGCAAAAGAGATGTTTGCAGTCGATGAAGTAATTCTGATATCAACACTTGCAACATCAAAGGAGTCAAGGTCGGAAGCAAAACAAGAGGCCAAATAGAAATCACCCATGCCAGCCTCAACCCAACCAGACAAGCAGGGGACTGACGAAGACGATGATTACAGGGTTCCCCAATCCTTTATAGTCCCCAATGATTTCGACTCTTCCAAATCAATGGTCGAAGAGCTAGAGCAGGTCATATTGATCGAACATCTACTCGATCGAAAGGTATACCTGGGCACGAGGCTAACTCCCGAGCTCAGAAAAAAACTCATTCAATTTCTTATAGCTAATATGGATTGTTTTCCGTGGTCCCATCTTGACATGACGGGGATCCCCCCAATGGTAACCACCCATAAACTAAGCCCCGATCCGAGGTCAAACATGTTTTCATCAAGGACGATGTATCTAAACTCCTTAAAATAGAGTCCATTCAGGAGGTTAAATACCCAGATTAGTTAGCAAATGTAGTAGTAGTCCCTAAAAAGGGGAACAAACTAAGAATGTGTGTAGATTAGAAAGATTTGAACAAAGCCTGCCTGAAGGACTCCTTCCCTCAGCCCAACATCGATCGCATGATCGATACCACGGCTAGCCACGAGATCCTTAGCTTTCTCTATGCCTATTTCGGGTACAACCAAATACGGATGGACCCGGATGATCAAGAGGAAACCTCCTTTATTATCAAGTATGACACGTACTGTTATAACGTGATGCCATTCAGATAAAAAAATGCGGTGCCACTTATCAACGCTTGGTAAACCGGATGTTTGAGGAACAAATAGGAAAATTGATGGAGATTTATCTTGACGACATATTGGTTAAGTCCCTGTGAGCAGAGGACCATTTAAAATATTTACAGGAAACTTTCAACATTTCGAAGAAGTACAATATGAAGCTGAACCCGGAGAAGTGTGCGTTCGGAGTCGGATCAGGTAAGTTCCTTGGGTTCATGGTATCCAACCGAGGAATCGAGATCAACCCCAACAAAATCAAAGCCATCGAAGATATCACGATCGTGGACAATGTGAAGGTCGTGCAAAGGTTAACCGAACGCATAACTACCCTAGGGCGATTCATCTCGAGGTCATCGGATAAGAGTCACCGATTCTTCTCGCTGATAAAAAAGAAGAACAACTTTTCATGGACCCCAGAATGTCAACGAGCCTTGGAGGAGCTCAAACGATATTTATTGAGCCCACCATTGCTTGATACACCGAAAACAGATGAACAACTGTACTTGTACTTGGCAGCATCGGAAATAGCGGTAAATGTAGTCCTTGTTCGAGAAGAGCAAGGTACGCAATTTTCAATTTATTATATTAGCAAGACCCTAGCAGAGGCCGAGACTAGGCACCCTCACCTAGAAAAACTGGCGCTCTCTTTACTAAGTGCCTCTAGGAAACTAAAAATTGACTAACAATGAG